CATAACATTAGGGACAATAAGTGAACACTGAAAAGAGAATCAAGTTGAAGTTTGACTGTTCCAAATGGAAACACAGCAAATTACATGGTACTGAAAAATAAGAATTATAGAAGCTATGCTAGAGGTAGAAGGAAATTACAGTATTAAAAAAAGGTTGAAAGACATTAGCTTACAAATATGTACATAAGACTCTTACTTTAATTCTTTTTTTAAAAAAATATCATTTCAGAAAACGAGTTATACATTATTATTGGAAGGAAAAGCATTGCAGTAAATAAACTCATATTTCTATAAAGAGGCTGATCCAAAAAAAACTGGACAAAGCGTATAACATACAATATGCGCACAAGATAACTTTTTTTTTTTTTGAAAACTGAGGGAAAATAAGAACTACATATTACAGAAACGGGGCCAAGTAATGCCCAAAGAGTCTCTAGCTAAGAGAGTAAGGCATCCTACTGGAGGATCAACAAAAAAATGAGTTCCCAATCGTTACAATGATGGGCAAAGGAAGCTAGCCAATCAGCTATTATATTCCCCTCTCTAAAAGTATGTGAGATGACAATGTTGCAGTCTTGCTCAATAAGGTGCCGAATTCTATTGACGATTCGACGAAGGGGGTGGTTTTCCTGACAACCTTTGTTGATAAGATTGATAGCCACCAATGAATCTCCCTCTATCCAAACGTTTTGAAGTTGCAATTTTTTGGCCTGAAGAATCCCTTCCAAGAATCCTCCGAGCTCTGCCGTTAGGGAGGTACCATGACCCAGCCTCCCACAGAACCCCAGAATCCACTTGCCAGTCTCATCTCTGATGACTCCACCGAAGCTCGAGCTCTTCCCTTCATGAATACTAGAGCCATCTACGTTAACTTTCGTCCATCCATGATTTGGATGCTGCCAGCAAATGTGGCGCGCACAAGCTAATTAATCATGTACAAATTGCATCAAAACATGGAGCATGTATTTTATTTAACCAGATGTCCAAATGCTAAAATTCAACTAAAGACCATAAATTAGCAAGCGTTTCATTTGATCTCTAGAAAACACAGGCTATTTCATTTGAACCACCTATCACAAATATGTTAAAGCCACGTGGCAAAAAGATAAAATTTCAAAAGATTACTTTACCCTTCAAGTGTGATTCATTCAAACAAACTATTAAATAAGGACTGCACAAATGTGAGTTAGCACAAATGTGAGTTAACAAAAATGGTTCTAAACTAGTAAGTTTATTATGTTACTTAATGCAACAAAATCAAACCGATAAGCCCAAGTATTAAACTAAGTACATGTTGCCTCTAACAGTCATTAAGGTAGTGTTTGGTCTGAGGAAAGTGAAAATTTTGCTGGCTAAATGCATGTGGGTATCTGATGAAACCACGTTTGGTTGAAGCTTTTGGGTAGATTTTCCCATCAAAGAGCTTTGCCTAGCAAATCATGAAGACAGGCAAAAAACTGGTTTCTGCACTGTTGAGAGAGCCGCTTGAACAAGTGGGATTGCTCTGAGAAATCGGATAAATGAAGACAGAGACACATTATCGAAGGTTGTAATAAAACCAAGGTGTTTTTACAAGGATAGTTTTGTAATTTCTTTAAGTTTTTCTATCAATATTTTATCTTCAACCAAACACACATTCAGAAATTTAATTCAATTTTCCTGGTAAAATTTTGCCCAACCAAACAACTTTTTTAAAACTTTTCTATCTAACTCACTTTTCATGCAGATCCCTAGTATTTACATTTCCCTAGTATTAAAAAATTTCTCCTTAACCAAACACTACCTAAGACTTTTTATCAAAGAGATAATAATATGGAAGATAATTAAGGGGGGAAAAAAGCGAAGAAAAGAAAAACACAACCAGATGCTGGCTACCCTTAATACATATCCTTTTTGGACAACATCTAATAATAATAATAATAATAATAATAAGGGGTTTGATTTTCTCATGTTAAATGAGAATTCAATTCTCATGTTGTAGAAATAAAAAGCATGTGGGACCCATGTGTTAGAAAAAATTATATGTAAGACCCATGTCAGCACGGAAATCGAAGTGTGTGTAGGAAAATTTGAATTCTCATGTTAAATGAGAATTATAAAACCCTAATAATAATAAATAAAATAATAAAATAAAAGAAACAAAACTAGGGGAATGATATTGTAACAAGTAACAACCAATTAGTGTTATTACCAATGTTACTACCAATTAATTTCACCGTTAGATCGATTATATATGTTAATCCAACGGTTATATTTATTTCCATCTTTGTATGGTTATGATTTCTCATATTTAATAATTTATATTTATTTTCACCTTTGTATGGTTATGATTTCTCATCCCATATTTAATTCTTTCACATTAAATATGAAAAATCATAACCATAAAAAGATGAAAATAAATATAACCATTGGATCAATATAATCGATCTAACGGTAAAATTGATTGGTAGTAACACTAATTGGTTATTACAATATACTACCCCACAAAACTATATCTAATTTATTTTTTTACCTAATAGAAGATTTCCTCGATGACTTTGAGAAACAAACTGTAATCCTTTTCCAGCAATGATTTGATTATATACAGCAAATTCTCTCAAATACAAATAGAAAATTTCACTCCTCACAATTTTGAAAAGACCACCCAAATTGATCTTTCTCCTTTCACTCAAATCAAAAAACCCCTTCTGATTTTGCAACACCTTCTTAATCATTTTTAATTTCTGCCAACCCACTTTCAAAGCGTTGGCCTCACCTTACACTTATAGGGGAAAGATCTCTTGGCAGAGCTTGCTTTGTGGATTTGTCTTCAATCTTCATAGGGTCTCAGAAATCTAAAGCTTGGAATGTGATCCCTCTTTCCATTTTTGCTCTCCTCACTCTTGCTCCATGAGTGCAATCCCTTTCAATCTTTGTCAAATGCAAAAATGACATCCTTCAGCGCTGGCCTGCGAGCCTTGCTAGAATAATAGTTGTGTGTTGAAGCTATGTTCCACTTCACCTCAAAATTTTAAGATTTTGAATCTTTTAATGATTTATATTATTTTCTATCATACTCCTCAAATATGTGGATATTGTATAAGCCAATTTTTTTTTTTTTTTAGATTACTTTATACTTATTTAATTTCTCAAATGAGAGATGAGGATCGAATTGTAACCTTGTAATCACTAAAACTATGATATCATGTAAAAATTTATTCCAACCAAAAATCTTAAAATATTGGATAAGAATTTTTTTAATATGATTCGAAAGTCTTTTCTCTCTTTTTCTCCTAAAAACAAAGTCGAGAAGCCAAGTTTGATTTTGTTGACAGCTACTTCAATTTGCAGCAAGGTGGGATCACTGTCCATCCCAAATCTCTTTTTATTAAAACAACAAAGTAACCCTGCTTAAAATTCAAATTTCATTAACTAGTAGCCTAATTCACAATAAAAATATATTATTTTTTTATAATTTTTAAAGGAAGAAGATTAATCATTTTTTAATTTTTTTTTTTTTAAACTTCATTGAATTGAAAAATGTTTTATGATAAGATGCAATTTTTAATAGATTCTTGAAAAAATATTTTCAACTCAGCATATATTTTCGAGGTTGATTCTACCAATAACAATATAAATTAACGATCACATGAGAGCTTCACATAAGTAAAAGACCAAATCTTGAAAGTAAGATACCAAAAATAAAATAAAATAAAATAACATACAAAAATACATGTGTAAATATTAGATTTATGGTGTGAGTTAGCGTGAGATTTGCCTAAGGAACATACTTAATAACAGAGGGAAAAAAAAAAACAAAGAATTTGATTTCTGTTAAAGCTGATGCGTTGCTGAGTTAAAAGAAAAAATAAAATTGACGCGTTGTCCTATATTTGTTTCTGTGTACGAGGCGTTATTAAGATACAAAATCAGTTAGATTACCAAATAAAAAATAAAAAATAAAAAATCAGTTACAAAAAGTTTCAGTTTGAAAAATTAATGAAGATTAACAGAAATTAGCATAATAAATAAATATAAATTACAAACAATTTCAGTTTGAAAAACTAATGAAGATTAACCGAAATTAGCATAATAAATAAATTTAAAATTCAAAAATGACATTATTATTAATTGGTTGTCCTTTTAGAGAGGAATTGATGACCAGCTATTCATACGGGAAAATGTGTGGAAGTAAATATTAAAAACTCCATTTTGTTATTAACGCTACACCCCAATTGCAATTAGTTTGCGTTACTCCCTTTCTACTCTCTCCTTTACTTTTCATTCCTTTTCTTTTAATCACATTCCCTTGAGGGTTTTCATAGAAACTTCACAGGGAATGTCTGTTTCATCCATCCAATAGATCAGGGTATGGATGTGGATTTTTGGGTACGCATGCATGTGACATTTGATAACATTTTTTCTTTATAATTTCCATTGTGGTATAAGGGTGTTGGCATCAATCAAATGCATGCTCAAATTGTGACTCAAAAGTTATTCTATCTCTCTTTTCATTTTATTTTTTCCTTAAATTCAAGATTTGAGCTTTTGTTAGATAATTATAAAAGTGAAGCACCATCAACTATCTTGTTTCCAGATTTCACTGTAGTGATTTCAAAAAAAAAAAAAAAAAAGAATTTGTAGAATGAGTAATAAGGATTATATATGTATTTTATTGGAAAAAAGAATTGGATTGTTATGATTTTAGTATTCAGTTTATTTTTATTTAATTATTTATTTATTTTTTATACAAGGAAGAACGTGGTATTATTAGATGTCCACCATCCTAGTGAAAATTTTACAGGTAATGAAAAACAAATCTTTAGTAACCACTATATAAGCAATGAAAACGATACAAAGGAATTTAATGCCAAAATAACGTTAAAAGGCATGAAGATAACAAGCAATAGTTTTTCCAAACAATTAGCCAGGGGAATAGCTTGCTTCATGTGTTCTTTGTGTTTCTATTTTGTTTACTTTATACTAACTTTGAATTTAAACTCTGGCAGGAAAAAAACAACATGATCAGAAGCTTCTTTCTTGTTTCCTTGTTGATCCATGCAACATTAGCAAAGAAACCTGCACATGCTCCTGCCCCTGCCAAAAAATGGTCAACATTAAGCGGTTGGTAATAATGTGATTTTTGTTTCCCTAAACTTGTTTATTCTTTTGGTTATGACAATGTTCTTGGTGATGGTGATTCTTTATCATCACTTGTAGGCAACGAGCCCCTTATAATAGCTCGTGGGGGGTTCTCGGGTCTCTTCCCAGAAGGCAGTGCAGACGCAGTTACTATAACAAAGGACATTAGCATTTTTCTCTGCAATCTTCAGATGACAAAAGATGCTGGTGCCTATTGTTTGACTGGAGCTAAACTTGACAATGCAACAACTATAGCAATGTTCGACCCAAAAGAGAAAACCTACAATATTAACGGACAAGATGTGCAAGGACACTTTGCTGTGGATTACACTGGTGCTGAGATTGACCACAATGTGTCATGTGAGTCTTGAGCCAATATCTAAAATAATTATGTACGTTAACAACTATGGCTATCAACTGCATTGGTCTTTAATAGCCAATGGTGAATAGATCTCATTAATTCATTCATAGGTCAATTGTTAGAGAGATATATGTTAGAGAAATATAAAAACTATTGACGGGTGTTCAATTACCGGCTTAAGCTATTGAGTTGGAATAAATCTTTAGTGCATCAAATGCATTGGACTCAGTATATCTATCCATTCATTTTGTGACAGTATATCTATCCATTCATTTTGTGACAAGTGGACCGAAAACATCACATCATTTGAAAAAAAGTAGATGATGTGATATTTTTTGTCCACGTGTCATAAAATGAATGGGCGAATGTACTGAATCTTCGGTGCATCTGATGCACTAAAGATTTATTTGTTGGATTGAGATGGTTGCTTTACATAGTTTCAGGCAAAATGAGTAAAATGAAAAAAAAGTATAAATTATCACTTTAATTGTTGACCTTTAATCTATGAATGAATGACTAAAATCTTTCACATGATATGATAAATTTAGAGACTGATACATGTTACTAGCACATTAATCATGGTACATGGGTTCTATTCCCAACATAGTCAATTAATTGCTTGAAACAGAAGATTTGGAATAAGTTTTTTATATCAATTCAAACCATTTTTTTATAGTGATAGAAAACCATAACTTGTTTATAGAACCAATTATATTTTGGATATGCATAACCAAAAACGTGTATACACAATGAAAAAGTAAGCCATTATGAGCTACAAAAGAAAAGAAAATAATGTGAGGATTATTGATGCATGTAAAAAGACTCTTCAGCACATTATTCATCCTTCATAGATAACAATCTTAAAGCCAACGAACTACAAAATTCAGAACTAGTTAGGCACACTACCACCATACATAACACAGTTATGGATAGTAAGATGAATAAAATTGATATTTTTATTTTGTTACAGTGAATCAGGCCATTTTTTCTCGACCTAGTTTTTATGATGGCATGTCCCCAGTACTTAATGTTGATGCCCTACTAAGAGATAAATCCCCACCAATGTTCTGGTTGAACGTTCAGGTTCTCTCTCTCTCTCTTTCTATCTCATCATATGAATGTTAAGATCCATAGCATATGTGTGCTGTGAAAATTGAAAATCCTAAAGCTTCTTGACATCATTCTTTCTCTAACATTTTGTTATGTTGTAATTGATTGGTCTGTTGCAGTATGAAGCATTCTATAATGAACACGGAGTAAAGTTAGTTGATAATGTGCTAGAAATATTGAAACTTTATCAAATAGACTTTGTTTCATCTCCAGAGATTGGTGTTTTAAGGAGCATCAATGGGAAAGTGAACAAGGCAACTAAGGTTGTCTTTCAACTTCTTCATGCAAATGATGTTGAACCAACAACCAAGCAACCATATGGTACCATTGTGAAGGATCTTGCGGCAATCAAGGCATTTGCATCAGGCATAATGGTACCAAAAGAATACATATGGCCAGTTAAAGCAGACAAATATCTAGGGCCTCCCACAACACTAGTAACTGATGCTCACAAACTAGGACTAGAAGTGTATGCTTCTGGTTTTGCTAATGACTTCTTTTCAAGTTATAGTTATAACTATGATTCTACAGCCGAGTACTTAAAATTTATAGAGAATGGGGATACTGTTGATGGTTTTGTTACTGATTTTGCTCCAACAGCATCAAATGCTTTAGGTAAATTTTCAATCTTCATACCTTTCTTTTATTAACACTTTCCAAATTGCAAAATCCCCTCACTCACGACACTAATCTGAAAGAAGTAAGTAGTTATTTTGAACCCAAGACATATTCTGATGAATTTATTGTTTTTCCAGCATGCTTTGTACACAACAATACCCTGCCAAAACAAGGTAAAAGTATTATTGTTGAAATGTTCTTAACAGTTGAACCATTTACTAGACGTGCAAAAACAGAACAATAAATACATTTGCTTTTGCAGGACAAGCTTTGATCATAGGCAACAATGGAGCAAGTGGTGTTTATCCGGGTTCCACTGATCTTGCATATCAGCAAGCAATAGATGATGGAGCTGACATTATAGATTGCTCAGTTCAAATGACAAAAGATGGAATTGCATTCTGCTCAAATACCGCAGACCTGATAGGAGATACCACAGCAATGACTAAATTCATGTCTCGAACTTCCAATGTTCCAGAAGTTCAACCAAAAAGCGGAATCTTCTCCTTCGACCTCACATGGAATGAGATTCAGACCTTGCAACGTAATGCTTCCACAGGACTTACAAAAATTCACATACTAATCTTGCCTTTAATATTTGCACAATGAACTTATGGTAACTTTCTGTTTCAGCTCAAATTGCTAACCCTGATGGAAAAGACTTTCAAAGAAACCCAGCAAAAAAGAATAGTGGTAAATTTGTAACGCTCTCTGAATTTTTGGAGTTGGCCAAGACAAAGGCAGTTACTGGTATTTTGGTTAACATAAAGGTAAGCAGGATGCATTTCCAATTCCCTATAGTAATTGACTTTGAAAACTTTTTACCAATGCTAATTCTCCTTATTTGCCTCACAGAATGCTGCTTATCTTGCATCAAAGAAAGGACTTGACATAGTTGGTGCTGTAAGCACTGCCTTAAGCAATGCCACCTTTGACAAGCAAGTCACACAACAAGTTCTGGTCCAATCCGATGATAGCTCTGTGCTATCCAAGTATAAGGATATCCCATCTTACAAAAGGGTGTTGTTAATTGAAGATAAAATAGGGGATGCACCAAGTCAGACTGTGGATGAAATTAAGAAGTATGCAGAAGCAGTGAATCTTCCAAAAACCTCAGTTGTTAAAGTATCTGGTTCCTTGTTAACAGGAATGACAAATATTGTTAAAGAGTTGAAAGATGCAAACCTAACAGTATTTGTCCGTAGTATTAGAAATGAGTACATATCCTTGGCATTTGATTACTGGTCAGACCCTAATGTAGAGATATCTACTTACATCCATTCTGCCAAGGTTGATGGAATAGTGACAGATTTTCCAGCCACTGTTAGCAGATATATGAGTAAGTAATTCAATCTCTTCGCTTTTCTTAGTTAGTCCAGGCAACTATGATTTCATTCATATCGTATGAGGGCGAGCTTTTTGGAGCAGAGGTAAAGTTATTCCTTATGACCCCCGTTCATAGGAATTGACCACCACCTCTATCCTTATAAGTTGGGAAGTCTTGTGCACTAAAGTTTGCCCTTTGTACGAGTCATAGAAGATCTTAATTTTCCCATGAAAAGGTAATGTGGTTGGTTATCTTTTCTCTAATATGCAGGAAGCCCATGTAGCATTCCCAACAATGTGCCTGCCATCTTACCAGCTGAACCTGGTGGACTAAAAAATACTGTTCCACCTCATTTACTGCCACCAGCAGAAGCACCACTTCCACCTCTTGAGGTTGCAAACGTTGTTGATCCACCTCTTCCTCCAGTGGTTAATGAGGATAGAACTAATCCTGGTGCTGCACCTACACCACCACCTCCTTCAGGTGCCTGGAGATATGCTGCTAATCTTGGTCTCTCCCTAGTTGCAATCTTGGTCTCTAACCCTTCAATTTTCTTCTAGCCTCTTGTGTGATAATATCTTAGTTTGTACTATAGAATGCATTTGACATTAGTTCACACGAGTGTTTTATTATATTGTATATACATACCATTGTATCAGCTACTTTAAGCTAATAATGTTGCTGGATTATTAGATATTTCTGCGCACACGAGTTAAATCAATTTAGATCTTTCTCTTGGAAACAACTTGTTTTGGACCTGGATCGAACACAACCAAAAGGGTAGCATTATTTAGAAAAATAAATAAATAAATAATTATGAAAATAGGCGGTGAAGAATTATTGAAGCAGTTTTTATTTTTATCTTATCCAAATTCTTTTAATGACGTAAAGTTAACAACAACACGACACGGGAACAGTGACTATTTTGTCACGTTTGGACAAAAAAATTATTAAACTACCACATTAATAGTAAATTTTGCCAAAATGTCACGCGGCATAATTCGTTACACAGTGTAGCGAATTATGCATGCAAGTAATTCGCTACACAGTGTAGCGAAATATACCACGTCAGAATCAAAAATGCCGCATGTCAAATTTTGAGAAATTTGCTACCCTATGTAGCGAATTTCTCAAAATTTGACATGTGTTATTTTTGGTTCTGTGCATTCTGACGTGGCATAATTCGCTACGAATTATGTCGCGTGGCATTTTAGCAAAATTTACTGTTGGCCACGTCTAGTAATTTTTTTGTACAAAGATATTACTTTGGTCACTGTCCCACAGTTTTGTACATTAATGGTAAGGATAATTCCTGGTCTTAAAGCAAACACGCTCACCGCACTGTTTAATAAGATAGGTTGTGAAAATTCCTGACCTTATGGCAACACGCTCACTGCATTGTGAAAAGTATGAAAAAAATGAAAAGCATGAGTTTAGGAGGCGTATCAATAAAATTTTCCAAAATTGCTTACCCAGGAAGACAAAGTACCGATTGTATTTATTCCCAAACCTAGGCGCCTTTGAATTGAGGATGCGGACTAGGTGCTTTTCTATACCGTAGGCACTAATATTGCCAAATTGAATATATAGAGAGAATGTTGTTGTTTTTCAATTGGTTGCCTAGGCTTTTAAATTCAAAGGACAAAAAACGTTACAACGAGACTCGTTATATCTTTTTCATTTACGCGTATCTCAATCAATGCTCGTAAACATATCTTTTTTTCCTTTATATAATAGATGGTAGAGATAACTATTTTCACCACAAACATGAGACGGATTTTTCGTGTTAATGTTAACTCGTATTTGTATTCATGTTGACCAAAAAGTGAACTAATAATAATATAATTACTTATTTATCCCATATTTATTTATTAATTTAAGGTTATTTAAGTAATTTTTTCAAAAGAGTAAAATTGATGGATTATTTGTATTATGTCGTGTCAATTCGTGTCCTGAATGATTTGAGTTAGTGTCGAGAGTTTTGATATAAATAATTATTTGTGTAATGCTCGTAGTGACGATATTCATATTTGTATTGGCCCGAAAACCACCTGTCAACCCATATTACATGCTATCATATTTCATCATGAATTTTCAATATATATTATAGAAAAATGTTATGTTTACAAAAATTTTATTTATAAACTCAACTATGTATTTCGGAAAATACAAACATCTAAAGGTGTGCATGACAACAATTATATTCCCTAGCATTATTTCTGAAAAGAAACAATTCTTTTCTATTTTTGTGCCTTGGAACAGTTTCTGAGAAAAAAAAATATGTTTTACAACATGTTCTATTTTCATTCCAATAATAGTGGTGGTGGTGAATGTTGTGGCTGCGACGATGGTGGTGGAGGCGGTGACAGTGGCGTGGTGATAGTAGTGGTGGTGGTGGTGATGGCAGTGGTTGCAACGATGACGGTGGCAATGATGACGACGGTGGTGGCGGCGGCGATGGTGATGACAGTAGCTACAACGATGGTAGCGGTAATGGTGACGACAGTAGCTGCAACGATATTGCCAAGTTGTAGAGAGAAAGAATAGAGTTTTAGAAGAACTTGCTAGAACTATGATTAGTGAAAGCAATCTTTCTAAGTACTTTTGGGCCGATGCGGTAAGTACCGCTTCTTATTTAATTAATCGTACACTAATTAGGCATATCCTTAAGAAAATCCCCTATGAACTTTACAAAGGTAGAAAGACTAACATTGTATATTTTCATGTGTTTGGTTGCAAATGTTATGTTTTGAATAATGGTAAGGATAAACTAGGTAAGTTTGATCCTAAAGTCGATGAAGATATATTTCTTGGTTATTCTCTTATTAACAAAGCTTATAGAATTTATTATAAAAGAACCATGTCTATTGAAGAATCTATTCATGTTGTTCTTGATGAAACTAACTCTTTCTTGCAAAGAAAGTCTAGTGATGATGATATCGTAGATACTTTGGAAGATAAAAATACTAGCAACAAGGAAAAGGAAAATATTGATGATAAGGTAATCAACAAAGTGAGAAACAAGAGCTACCAAAGGATTGGAAGTATTCAAAGTCACTCCCTATGATATAATTGGAGATCTATCAAAGGAAGTTTCTACAAGAAATTCATTAAGGAATTCTTGCAATCATCTATCTTTTGTATCTCATGTTGAACCCAAGACAATTGAGGAAGCTATTCAAGATAAAAATTGGATGCTTGCAATGAAAGATGAGCTAAGTAAATTTACAAGAAATAATGTTTGGGAACTTGTCCCTAAATCGGAAGATCATCAAATGATTGGCACTAAGTGGGTATTTAGAAACAAACTTGATGAAAATAGTGTAATCATAAGGAACAAGACAAGACTAGTAGCAAAAGGTTACAATCAAGAAGAAGGAATTGACTATGATGAAACCTATGCACCTGTTGCAAGACTTGAAGCTATTAGAATGCTACTTGCATATGCTAGTATATATGATTTCAAGTTATACCAATGGATGTCAAATATGCGTTTTTAAATGGTTTTATTTAAGAGGAGGTATATGTTCATCAACCACCCAATTTTGAGAGGTTTGACTTTCCTAATCATGTTTTCGATTGAAAAAGGATTTAAACGGTTTAACGCAAGCTCCAAGAGCTTGGTATGAAAGATTGAGCAAATTTCTACTTAATAATGAATTTTGTAGAGGTAAAGTAGACACTAAATTGGTCATTAAAAGAAAGCATGATCATACTTTACTTGTTCAAATTTATGTTGACGATATTATTTTTGGTTCTACTAATGAATTTCTTTGTGAAGAGTTTGATAAAATGATGCAAAGTTAGTTTGAGATGTTTATGATGGGAGAACTCAATTATTTTCTTGGATTGCAAATAAAGCAAGAAAAAGAAGGCATATTCATCAACCAAGGGAAATATTGCAAATAGTTACTCAAGCGCTTTGGGATGGATTAAGCCAAACCGATAGACACTCCAATGAGAACTTTAATCTCAATTCACAAGGATGAAGATGGTACACTGGTTGAGGTAACAAAGTATAAAGGTATGATTGACTCTTTATTATATTTGATCGCTATTAAACCAAATATTATGTTTTGTGTTTGCTTATATGCTATATATCAATGTTGTCCTAGAGAGTCACATTTAAATGTAGTTAAAAAGATTTTGAGATACTTAGTAGGCACTACACATGTTGGTTTGTGGTATCCCAAGGGATTCCCACCTACTTTAATTGGTTATTCCGATTCTGATTTTTCGATTGCAAGTTGGATAAGAAGAGTACAAGTGGTATTTGTCATTTGTTTGGGAATGCTCTAGTCTCTTGGCATAGTAAAAAGCAAATGAGTGTTGCTTTGTCAACCGAAGCGGAATATGTAGCCGCCAAAAGTTGTGTTGCTCAAGCTTTATGGATGAAGCAATAACTTCAAGACTATGGTTTGTCCCTCACTCACATTCTAATTAAATGTGATAACACTAGTGCAATTAATTTGATAAAGAATCCTATCATGCACCCTAGAACAAAGCATATTGATATTAGGCATCATTTCATTAGAGACCATGTTCTTAAAGGAGATGCCAATATGGAATTTGCGGAATCACATGCTCAATTAGCGGATATATTTACTAAACCATTATCTAGAGATCAATTTGAGAAATTAAAAGTGGAACTAGAATTGTTAAATCCAATCTCTTGATTCTTATAGTTTGATGATTAATATTTGTATATATGGTATATCTTTGATGTTTTTTATTGCTCTAATACCTTATTTTGATGTTTTGATTCTGTTTATACGAAGTTTTGATGATTACTAGTTACTAATTTGATGCTATCGATATTCAAATGTCTTTGAAATGCTATTATATTCATATTTGTTATTCAACATCATTCTTATAATTACTGAATTTTTTTGGAAAATAAGTCAAAAACAGTTTTATACATGACATAAAATCATTTTTGGATGTACTTCATAAGTTTGATGCAAAATCTTGATAAATATGAAACTAGTTTGACTTTAAGTTGACTTTTTAATGCTATATGATATATTCATATTTTTGCATATTTTGATATTGCCAAAATGGAGAGAAATATGTTGGAATTGAGAAATTTTGATTATTTTTATGTTTCCTTATTATTTTACAAAAGGGAAAAAATGTTGACTTTTATTGGAATTGTTGACTTTTTGTATCCTATTATGGGGTAGCATATTGGTAGGGGGAGTTTGATTTTGATTTCTAATGCTACTAACTATATATCTCAATTAAGTGTTTATCATCATAAAAGAGGGGGAGATTGTTGAACCATAGATCACAAAGACAATGATATTAAAGTTTTGATTATAACAAAGCACCTACAAAAGTCCAACATAACTCAATATGGATGCTCTCAATACAAGGCAAGACAACAAGTCCTAAATGGTACAAGAAGCCTATAACAAAGAGCAAAGTAGAAAAGAACACTCGTTTTAGCAAAGTCAAAGTTAAAAGTTCAAAAGAAGTACTAAAAGACTCAAACAATGAAGACAAAGAAGACTCAAAGACTTACTGTTTGTTATATTTATTTAGAGTCATAGAACTTATAGGAATGAGTTTATTGAGCTTTATCTTAGGAAATGCATAATTAAACCATATACTCATACAAGTGACACATTTTCACTTTGATCATGCATACAAGATCACACACACATCAAGAGTTGTTATATAAGTATGAGACATGATCATATATATATGTTAGATATCACTAGAAATCAGTTAGAAGTCATTGGAAATCAATTAGATGCATTGAGATTAAAAAATCAACATGAAAATTGATTTTTGCATAAAAGTAATTGAATACTTTTTGCAAAGTAATCGAATACTTTCTGTCTTGAACAAGTAATCGAATACTTAATGAACAGTAATCAAATACTTTTTGGGTTTGAACAAGTATTTGAATACTCTCCGAAAAGTAATCGAATACTTTCACTTATAAATGACTTAAACTCGAAGTACTTCAAATATTTTGATTTCTAACGGACATAAATGACTATTAACTCATTGGGGCACCTATAAATACATGTCATTAGGGTTCTATACATAAGAATTAACACTGGAAAACTTATATTCAAAGAAAACTCAGAATTGAACTCGTAGTGGCTTAGTTTTGCACATCCTTTAGAAAAAGCTCAATTACTCTCTCGTTTCTCAATCTTTTTCTGTTCTTTCTTTTTTGTTTGAACGTAAAGAGGTGACTCTATATCTGTTTAAACGAATCTGGCTGCTATAATTGTTAGTGAGACAATTGGAGTGATTCTAAGGTGTTAGGTTGGGTGTGATCAAAGGTTTGGTCATGTACTTGTAAAATTCTAGTTGTAAAAAAGTTTCTTCAAGCACCCGTTTGAAGCTTGATAATAGTGAATGGATCGACCTTAGTCTGAATGTAGCTCTCACGTGGTTAGAAAGTGAATAAGGATACATCACAATATGATTTTTCCTAAACCCTTCTCTCTTTTGATTTTAATCAATTAATTTTGTTTTGATTCTTTGTATATGTTATATTGAATGTGTTTGAGAGTTGAGAATCATAAGTTTTTTATTTAAATTTGTTCTTGCATGATTTCTTGAAAATGGTTGCCCTAAATATTAATTTTCTATATTTTCCCATTCAATTTTGATTCCGCTATATTACCTTTGAAATTTATGTTATTAGAATTGTTTTAATTTTGTTTTATATTGGGAAAAAGGTTTATAATCTATAAATTTCGTTTTGGTTGAAGTTGTGCTGAAAAATGTTGAAATTTGAATTGTTCTTGCATTAGAAGTAACACGCAATTCACCTCCCTCTTGTGCGACTAGTTGTGTATGTGGTACATTCAATACTTCATGGCAAATGTTAGTGAGTTGCGCACATATTTGGTTTGGTTTGCAATTAGTTGTTACAAACAAACCCGTACCGTTGGGATCTATAAGACCACTATGTTCCCTTTGGGGATGGAGTCACTGTATGGATGATACCCTTAGCACAGGTAGAGACCAAGCTAAGAGGCACTATTCCAAGTATTAGAAAGCAATCAACAATGGGGTTAGGTGTGTGGATGTGTGACTCAATATAAATGGGTAGAATAATGATACATAAGATACCTTCATGGTGTGCCCAAGATGCTATTTATAGGGGAAGATGATGTGAATCTGGTGTGGGTTGGTGAGGAGGGGGTCAACCCTCCTTGGGATCTGCCAAGGGTGGCAGTGCTGGACGTGGCAGACGCTGCTATGATAGCAGCACTGCAACCCTGCGCCTGGCGACGTCAGCGTGGGGCAAAGGGCAGTTTCCTCTTATGGTATCTGCGGCGGTCACCTTTGGGGGTTAGGGTCCTAAGGTGGGACATTTTGGTGCTTCTCCTTGGAAGTGTCATCACGTTGGGGGTTGGGAGGGTTGACAGTTGGTAGGGCTGACGTGGATAGGGAGTTGAGGTTGGGCTTAGACCTTTGGGTCGCTATGTTGTTGGGCCATCCAGAACAGGAGCACCCCAGCTTGGTAGCAAGCGTAGCTTGGTGTCAAGGTAAACGGGCTTGGGTGACGCCAAGGTGAATGGGTTTGGGCGACGCCTGGCTGGCGATATAGGGGGTTGACGTAGGCGTGATATCCAGTATCTTGGTGACTTGGTAAGTATTTGAGGCTTTTAAAGTGCTTTGAGGTAGGGTTTTATACCATTTGTCTCTTTGATTGGCCGCGTTGTCCTGCGGGGGGTATTTTGGGCCTTTCGCCTCTTCTGACACGAAAGGTGGCTTTCCGATTTTCGAGGAGCAGTAATGATGGGTGCCTCCATCATTGCAAATAACGGCAGACACTCAACCATCATTGAGCACAGCGCACTAATGCGACGTGAGGGGTGTCTTGTCCCCCTGTAATTACCATCAGGCCCCTCATCACAACCGCCCATTATCTGACGGTTGCGCTATCCTGCAGTTGAAATGGTGGGGTGTTACACGTGTACGCCATCCTGATCCTTCTCTCCTTATTTAAAGGAGGTTCTTCCCACCCTGAGGACCTTCTTCATAAATCTCAGGCTCTTTGTGTTCCTGCCCTCCTTATTTGTGTTTTCTCTGTAAAAGTGCTCGTGTCGGTCTTCCTTTCTTCCATTTCAGCGCATATCTCAGGTACAATGTTTCTGGATCTTAGCTTTGATATTCCTTTAAATTTCTTTGGCTTTGCTTCTCTTCTACTTTTTCCTGTGATGGTCAAGTTAACAGACTTGACTGGTTTGGTCTTGTCGGAGTTGGATGTTAAGGAGGAAGAGTTTGATGAGGCTTTCGACGTGCTTGATGGTTGTACAGTGGGTCCGGCTATGCAGGAATACCTTGGTAGTCGTGGTGGGGAAAGTAGTAGTGTTCCCCCCACACTCTGCTTTAGTTCCTGGGGTTTCGAAGTTACCCCATGGTAAGATACCTGAGCTTCTCGGTTTCAGTGAAGAGGAGATTCAACATCTCTTGCCGGAGAAGGCTTTGGGACCTGTGATTCCTTATTCTGGTGAGGCGTCTGGTTCCCGTCACAATGGTGGGCGCCAGGTGGTGGCTGGTGAGAATGCTTCTAGATCTGGTAGGCGCCTGCCTGCTGGGTCTAGAAGGCGACGATCTGGTGGGTCTGGTGAAGGAGTTGGGTCTCGCTGATAACTCATATTTTATTACACTTATTTGTTACTCTTGATTTGTATTTTTAGGATTTAATTGAATAAAATAATGATGTTTTGAGTTAATTTACATTTTTAGTTTTTGATTGGGTTTAATTTATTTTCGTCAGAATTTTTCAGCTTTACGTTACTTCTGTATTTTGGCCATATCTTGGTCCACAGTTGTCGGATTGACTCCGTTCTTATTGGGTTTTTCAGATAACACAGAGGGATACGATTCTTATGCAGAGCTCGAACCCCAATTCGGATTGGAAGCTAGTCGATTTCTTGCGCCAAGTCGGACACGTTTTGTTGAAGTTTTATTTTATTTCGTATTTTAGACATATGGGCCGGTCAGAACTGAACCCTAACCCACTTTGGGTAGGGGTATATGACGGCAGAGTAGGAAACATTGGATTGATTTTGAATTTTCGTATTTTGGGATCAAAGCACTTTCTTTGGAGCATTCTTCGCGTTCTTCATCTTTTTCTTCTTCTTCTTTTTATTTTATTTTAATCATGTTTACCTTAGTCATGCGAGGCTAAGAACCTTTTAATCAACCTAAGAGTAACAGATTCCATGGATTAGTCTTGAGAGTCTGCGCTAGGGCTGGCAATATGGGCCAGCCCGCCCCGGCCCGCCGCTAGCCCGCACAAAATGGGCTGGCCCGCCCCGGCCCGTTTTGACAAAATGGGTTGAATT